GTATAAAAACTAAAAGGACGCGTGTTATTTTCCTGTGGTTTTCATACAATGAAAGATGAGAATATAAAACATTCATAGCGGTATCCCAGTTGGCATAACAAGCAATTTTATTGTGAAGGGATCACAATTCACAAAAGCAAATTTTGATTTATTTTTTTTCTTGTCCGTGAAGATTCTTTCTTTTCCATGTGAATTAATTAATATTTGCACTGATTAATCTTCTCTAATCTTTTTTTTTGTTTGAATCAGCCAATCAAAGTAATACCACATGACTGTGATCTGCAACCCTTCAATGTGCAACATCTCAGTCATTAATAATAATTAACATGAATGATGAAGCTGAATGTAATTAAAATTATATCATATACATATACATCTGTCGCATGGGAAGCGCGTGTGTTTGGCAGCATGTTCTGTTGTTCTGTATTAGTTCATATTAATGAGTATTACAGGCAGCACCCTACACATCCACAGACACACACACCCTACAGCCACAAAGGAAATTGTTTGTCTTGCCCCTGTGCCTGAAGTCTACAATGCCACGATGATGCACTGCTCTGCTGAGAACAAATTGAAATAAAAAAACAAACAAACAAAACAAAAAGGCGATTAGAAGAAACATCCAAAGGCAGAATATGACTATAATTCCCACACAGACAGTCATTGTTAAAAATGCAGCTTAACTGGCTTCAAAAGCTCCAGGAATCCAGGTTCGGACCATGAAAACGTTCCATCAGAGCAACAATATATGCCTGTTATTAAGCCAAGTGGTACTTTGCATCAATGTGCTGAGCATGTGACCACGCAGGCCCCACGAAACACGCGTCCTCTGACAGCTCACAGTCCCATCGCAGCAATAACACAGTAGCATGTAATACGCTCGTCATCAGGGTGATTCACGTTCTGAGAAATGTTTCAGCACAGCCTCGGAGGTTTGTGCCCGAGACATATTTCAGCGGCCATGATATCATCATGTGTTGTCTGGGTGAGTGAAGATTTCTTATGTAAGTTCACAACTTGCTTGTGGAGAGCATGAGACTGGAGAGTGTTTAAAGTTTAATTCGAGCAGCAGGGCGAGTTCGAATGCCAGACTGCATTGACTGATCTGATCTGCACTGCATCACGTTTTAATGCTATCTGCCTTTTGTTATAATTCTAGCTCGTCGACTGTATATCAGCGCTCTCCCACCACATGCTGCCGCCGTTACACAGACACAAGGTCGTCATTTTTTATGCAGATAACACGTTTAGCTCCTTTCCTGCGTGCTTTAATGATATTAACATCAGGATGTCTCAAAACCTAATGAAACTGAACTCACACACAGATAACAGATCTTCACACACATTGCATGCGCAGGATGCACAGATGGATTTCACTGTATTATGTTCTCTTGTCTTGGGTTTGGTTAAAAACCCCAGCAGCTGCACACACTTTAGTTTGGGGCGGGGCCGACAATCACAAAAGGAGGGAAACGGGACAAAGACGGTGAGTAAAATAACCATGAGAAACACGAGGTAAGTAGTTTCAAAATATAAATAAGAGTCCATACATAAGGTCCAAAAAGAATTCAAACATAAATCGTCTGTCAGGTCAAACCATCCACACATCTGTCTTGACCTAGAGTGACACTGACGAGCACCGACACTCAGAGGGTTTTTCTCTCTTCCAGCCGAGCAGCAGGGAGTTTATCTCCTCAGGTAACATCCTCTGTTGAGGCCGTCACCGCGGGCCGACGGGAAAAACTCAAAACACATTCACAGCTCTACGACCTTAAGCACCGGTCTTTGTGTTTTTGGTTGGTCTGTGCTGTGTGTTTTTGGTTGACGTGCGCTCGCTGTGGCGCTGCACTGTCACCAGGAGTCGAGGTGGTAAACAGCAGATAAATCATGTGACACTGAACATTTACTGAGTTTTATAACGAGTGCGACGTCAAGGCTCTGTGTTTTGCAGCAGCGTCGAATCGGTCAGAGATGTGTGTGTGTGTGTGTGTGTGTGTGTGGCTGAGAAGCTCATGACAGGGTAACGGGCAAGAGCTGCTGGGCTGCAGGAAAAAAAAGAAAAAAGAGGTGGATTTGGCTCGGCACTTTTCTCTGGCTCTTTCCAGCAACGCCTCGTCTAAACAGAGAAAACAATACGTCAGCGGCGCAACATGTCAGACAGAGCTCACAACAACAAAGTACACAATCATGGCTGTAATCACCTAATTTAGAATGAAAGCTGGGTCCATACAGAGAAGACGGCTGCGTTCTGCTTCTGTTATTATGTGCTGCCGCCTGAACAACGGGAGTGTGCGAATCCGTCAGATCCCAGTTTGAGATCTGATCTGTAGGTCTTATCATGGATGGACCTTTACCCTTCAAACTAGGCTCCATGTTGACTCCGACGTGCGTCAGAGTTCAAGGCCAAGTAGAGGGCTGCTGAGCAATGACGTACAAGTCTGTGTGTGTTTGTGTGTAGAGAGGAAAGCGCAGAGAAAGTTTGACATTCAGCAATTTCAAGGCACACTGCTCTGCATTTTAAAACACCAAAGTATCCAGAGGAGACCGTGGCCCAACACCCGGCGCCTGACTCAGTGACGTTCCAGTTTTGACTGGTTTGATTCCCTTTGATCATTCTGTTTCAGCAGGACGCTCTGTGGGCGGTGGTACCGCGCAGCAGCAGACTCCATTTTCAATAACGGACATTTTATTGAAATAAGTGCTGCTTTACTGATCACACACACGCACACGCACACACACACACACACACAAAACAAACTAATGAACTCCAGAGTTGTGATGTTTGAAGCACTTTTGAAACGTTCCTAAATGATATTTATAGCATTAATAAACTCGGTTAACGAACAAGATCAAGGACAGAATGATTGTGTTGAACCTTCTTGATTGGAGCCCAAAATGATATTGACATTTTGGAAAAAACATGCTTATTTGCTTCATTGCCAAGAACTAGATGAGATCAAGAAGATTGACAGCACAATCATATTTCCATTTACTGTGAGGACACAGCCAGCAGCTGCTTAGCTTAGCTTAGCTTAGCACTTCTAAAGCTCAAAAGTACAACATGATACATCTTTGCTGAATTTAAAACGATAGTTTGCAGTGTTACGTGTTATGTGCAGTGACCTCACGTAACCTTTACTGTGTGTTTGGACATAAGCCAAGATGGATTTCAGAGGTGGTACAATTGCATAGAAGTCAACGGAAAGATGAGACGCAAGCTCCTCGGGGTGGTGGGGATGAAATATTGATGCAAAGATGGATCTGTGTGAGTTGAAGATAAACAAAAGTAAAAAAAAATAAAAGTATGGAGTTGAGAAGCAAAAGTGGAGAGACTGGAGAGAAGCGACTGAAAGGACCAGAGTTCAGTCAGAACAGACATATGTTAGTTTGGCTTAATAAACCAAAACTAAAATGAAGGAATAATAATCAACACTGTGTCAGGACAACCCGTTGGTAGCGGGTGAATTTAACCCAGTGTTGTGTCTGTGCTATAACGATCCCAACTCGTCTCGGCTGAGATCAGACAGGCTGTGACTTTACTGTCTTTTAAAACTCTCCGGACAACATTCTTCTATTGGGAAGCTTTCATGAATGTTTGAAATGTTTTTGTTGGTTTTTTTTGTAATATATTTTCCCATGACACGGACAATCTCTATTTTCATGTACCTTAGGCTACTTCTGTTTTATGATGCGTTTGTTTTTCTCTTGTTTTTATTGCTGTTTTTAATTCGCCGTTTTCTTTCTGTAAAGTGCTTTATTGATAAAGTTTATTATTATTAGTAGTATTTTTTCATGTTTGTTAAACAGTTACCTTCATATAATGCTTAGTGAACATATATGACAGCAGTAGATCTTCTCATCTCTCTGCAAGAACGCAAGTAAGACTGAAATGTCAAACTATTCCTCTGATGGTGTTAGAAAGCTACGGTGCCACTTTCTGCTCGTTTCAAAACAAAGTGAGAAGCTTGTTGCTTGGATGAGGTTCTCAGTGTCACACACACACACACACACACACACACACACACACACACACACACACACACACACACACACACACACACACACACACACACACACACACACACACAGCAATGAACTCACCCAGGAAACTTGCTGACCTCAAAACGCAGCAAACACAAACCTGAACCAACAAACAGTCCTGACTGGACACTCATTGACATGGATGAGATTTGAAGACGAGAACCCTTCACAAACCCTTCCCCTCCCTCCCTCTCCCTCCCTCTCTTCACTTCTTTCATCATGCTTAGTCCTCTGAGTATAGCTTCACATCCTCCTATCGCTTAGTACATAAATAGAAGTATTAATCTTTGATGGGGACAGCAGCTGGTATCAATAATAGCAGCACTTTTGTGTTGTTGCTATGTTGAGAGAAGTGGCAGGACGTTTTCTCATGGAGCTCTCCGCTGAAAGAGGTCACGGAAGATACCCGCCATCTGCACTGGACTCGAAAACCCCCCCTTTATAAAAGACAGAGAGGGGGACAGTTGGACCGGCTTCATGATAAGAATGTGCACGGATGACTGTGATCTGCGCCTGCGAGGCCTGGGCACTTGAAGTAATTGCAGTGGAAGCTGATGCATCTGTGAACAGACGGTCTAACTGCTGCATCATCCTATGTGGCAGCTTGGGGTTTTTGTGTGTGTGTGTGTGTGTGTGTGTGTGTGTGTCTGCACCAACTCTGCAAGAATCAACAAGAAAAGACACGTTCCTGATTCAGCTGGAGGACCAATGAGGGAGAGTTCAGGTACGTGCAACAGGGAATATTCTGCTCTTCGTTTGGTTCATCTCGATACATCTGTAGAAAAGCAGGACTGTAGTCTTTAATGATAGAAAGCAAACTCAATACGCATGACTCAAAATCATTAAACTGCCGCACGCTGACGCACACGGGCTCACCGTCTCTCTCTCTCTCTCTCTCTCTTTGCGGTGCAGTCGTGCGCTCGGCCGCTCTGATTGTCTCCTTGTTGGTTGTGGGAGATTCGGTGCCAAGACTCTTCTTCTTCTTCTTCTTCTTCGTTGGACGCAGCGCACTCTGAAGCGCACACCGGCTCTTTTTTTTCTTCTCATTCTTTTTTTCCCCCCATTCATTCCAAAGTTTCGCTAAATAAACTCGGAATATTTCTTGGAAGTAAAACACAAAAATGACCTGACAGATGAAGTAATAATAGTAGTAGTAGTAGTAGTTGGCTCTAACCAGAAGCTCTGGTGAAGGCGGTGAATGGGCGGCTGAACGCCAGCGCCGTGCGTTAAGAGGAGCAGGTGGATGGAGACGCTGCCGGGATGCAGCTTTGCAGCAGCGGTTGGACTCTGTGCTCGCTGCTGAGGGACATCTCGCCGCTGTGGACATGATATGAGGATGAAGTTTACTGTCTAAAAAGTAAGTCATGCTGTTGGTTAAAAAGAAAAAAAGAGAATCTGCTGATTTTTTTATTTTTATTTGTCTCCATTGATTGGCATCTCTGTGAGGACTCTGTCTCGCTCGTGCGCAGTTTATTCGATTTTTGCCTCATAAGAAGAAATAAACACGTGCGCTAAATCATGGCACGGCGGTTATTTAATCCAAACGCAGTTCAACAAAAAACCCGAACCCCAACTGGTACCAGGCGCTTTATTCACATTGGGTTTTGGATGGAGGAGGACGGTGTCCTGAAATGCCTGAAACAGACGCAGGTCCAGCGGAGACGTGTAGTTATCTCTGCTCAGTGTCTCAGGGAGACTGAAGAGATTGTTTTTAAATTTAAAAAGTAAAGTAATTACAGCCTGAACTGTAAATGCTGTGTTCAGTGGACTGTGGATGTGAACTTTGCCCTGTAACTAACTCACTCTTACTGCAGCTCCACGGATACCTGTCTACCTGTCTACCTGTCTACCTGTCTACCTGTCTATGAAGGCTGACATTGTTTTGTGATTTGATTTGAATGATTTCAGAATTTTGCTCTGAAAGTAGGAAAAATAATTCTTAACATTTTCATGACATTTTGATAGTATTTATCCTTTTTTTCCATTTATGATAGGATTTATTTCAAGTATTTTTCAGTATTTTCAGTGTAATGACATTCAGTCTCCTCAGTGGTTTCTCATTGTTAGTGGCAGGGTTCACCCGCTCCTGCACCCGCTGTTGCCACCCGTAAACACAGGTGTCGCCAGATCAACAGTGTGTCCGCTCTAGTGTTTCTCTTTCAAGAAACAGAGACCATTAAAACTGGATCTCAGACTGATCAGGTGCAGCTTGGTCAGCAGCTCCTCAAATCACGTTGACACAAGTTCCAACTGCAGATAATTGCCACTTGCCAGCCTTGCAGTTGTCAAATGCACCATGTGATAGTGGATGAACCTCCACTGTTTCAGAGGCAAATGGCCACTAGAGGAATAGAATTGCCAATATTGATCTCTCTCTCTCTCTGTCAACAGTGCTGAAACTGGCTGACAAACTTAACCGGTGACAGGTCCGATGATCTAATGGTTGTTTTAGTTGTTAGCGTTTTAGTTCAACGCCAAGTTTGAAGACACTCCCTTTGGCTCTGGTAATCACTGATCATGCTGTGTAACATTTTATAAAAGAAATTATTATTTATTCATATTATTAATCCCCCAGAGCCGCCACCCTGCCATGCTAACCTTTGCATGCATACACAAAGACACAGTCATACTGGTCCTCATCTGCTGTGCTAACAGCTACTTGTACCCCTCATCAGCACAAAGCGGACTGTCCAAAGTGGGTCCTCGTGTGCCGGGCGCATGAAATTGAGGTACATTATGAAAGCTAAGAGCTGGACTGCTGTCCCTGTCGAGGCAGCTGCTGTCACTGCAGGAGAAGAGTGAGTGATCACTGCCACAGTGTCAGAGCTGTTTGTCCCCGAGATCAATTGAATAAACATTTGTCTTCGGCAGCGCGGCCGTACGTCTTTGCATGTATGCATACACAGGGTGGGTGGAGGGGGGGGGGGCATGCATACACACATATGCACACGCCTGACCTGGACTTTTGGGCTCAGTGTAGCATGGACGGGATTTATGGTCTAGACAGAGTTACACAGCTAAAAAAAAAAAAAAAAGAGCAGAGGAGATCCAAGAGAAACTTTGACATTGAACACAGATAAGTACAGGTACAAATACGGCTCTGTAGTGAGTTTTGTAGTGACTCCCGCCTGCAGGTTTTTATGAAATTTTAAACTTGATATTGTCCTTCTATTTCAAAATCAATGCAAATCGGTGTGCATGACATAAATGTTGTTTAAATGTCTTTGGGGTGATGTTGAGTCATGGAAGGTGTCCTGCTGACTGCTGGCTCGGGAACAAACCAAAAGTCTCCAGTATTGTGTTTGTTTCACCTGCGACTTTTTCTCTGTCTCTGCTGTTTCTCAAGTGAAGGAGAAAATGGCCAAATGTTATATTTAGAAAACTACACATTATGCCAACAGACAACACGTTTACTTCTTCCTCTCCCTGAGAGAATATTTTGAGCGTTCTCATGAGAGTATTTTACATGTTACTCTGATTAAAGGTGTGAAAACAGTCATGTTAAGTAACCGTGCTACTGTTGCTATGGATCCTAAAGGACCATTATTTTTTGTCTAAAGATATATTCTACGTTTCTCCGCCAAACTTAATGTTGTTTCACTCTGCTGTCTGTCTTTCCATAGATCTATCTTGCTCTTTCACCACATCTCTACAGCTGGGATGTGATACTTGTGGTTCCTCGTGCATGAAAACCCAGAGCACCGAGGCCTCGGACCCCGAACTCTCAAACTCCCAGTGGCCCAGGCCTAATGTAACACCTGAGGTCCCTCAACCCCTATTTCTCTTATTTAATATCTACTGTCTCTGAACACCTCACCATTTTTTAGATGTTAAGAATCCTTTGATTCCCTTGAACCCTCTCCGCCATCATGGCCTTAGATCAGTGGCCCTTCCTCTCGACTCCCCCCAACACCTCCATCCCCGAGCCCCTCCTGTACGACAGCTACATCCAAGGGAATGAGTCCGACCTGGATCTGAACATCTCAGAGACCAGAGAGCCTCACCAGGACAAGACCAGCTCTGTCGTCATCACCTTCATCTACTTTGTGGTGTGTGCCGTGGGGCTCTGCGGCAACGCCCTGGTCATCTACGTCATCCTGCGTTATGCCAAGATGAAGACGGTGACCAACATCTACATCCTGAATCTGGCGGTGGCAGATGTTCTGTGCATGATGAGCCTGCCGTTCATCGGCATGCAGCTGGCACTGGTGCACTGGCCCTTTGGAGAGGCTCTGTGCAGGGTGATCATGACTGTAGGTGGGTGTGGAGCACGTCACAAAACACCAGCAGCAGTTTGGGGCAAAGAAGCACTTTCAGAGAAATGATCCTGACTTCATTATTTGGGGGTGTGGGTGTGGTGGTGGGAGGGGGGGGTTGCTTAGATGTGAAGATGACTACCGCTCTCATATCTGTCCCTTTAAATATGAAGCTAGAGCCAGAGATTGTTACCTTAGCAACACACAGGAACACACTTGTAAACATCACTAATTAACACTTTGTTTCATCTGTACATAAACAAAACAGAGACATCTATACATTTTAAGTGTAAAATGATAAGTCACAACGACAGGCTGGGAAATATTAATGCTATAAGGTCATGTAACCGCCAACAACACCACAACTTGACATCCTCCTCCGTAGTGTTGATCGAACACAGTAGCTACAGGACGGCGTGTTTCTTTAGCGAGCTTCAGAGGTCACAAGAAGTCACACAAACGTCTTCTTCATCTGAGCATTAATGATTACTCACCACGCGATATACACAACCTCAACTCACGTTGTTCTTTCCCCCCCCCTCCCACTCCCCTGCTTCCTGTCCTCCTCCACCACCCCTCTCCCAGACTCTCTCAATCAGTTCACCAGCATCTTCTGTCTGATGGTGATGAGCATCGATCGATACCTGGCTGTGGTCCACCCTATTAAATCCACAAAATGGCGGAAGCCCCGTGTAGCCAAGCTAATTAACCTCACAGTCTGGAGTGTGTCGCTGTTAGTCATCCTGCCAACCATGATCTTCAGCGGCCTGGACAAGGTGCCAGTGTGTGGCATCGTGTGGCCGGAGCCTCAGGACGTCTATTACACAGCCTTCATATTCTACACCTTTTTCATCGGATTCTTCCTGCCCCTGGCAGTCATATGTCTGTGCTACCTGCTTATTATAGTCAAGGTGAGAGCCCGCCTCTGCACGTGTGACATTATAATGCAATTTCGTTTCTGTTTTGTCGTCTCTACTGTCCTCTAAAATTTAAAAAACAAGTTATTTTGTGGCACTAGAATGATGAACAAACATTCACGAGTAAACAGATTATTTTGGCCACATAAATCATGTTCATTTGTGAATTCGGATAAATTACTAAATTTAAAATGTCACTGTTTCAGCAGTGTGTAGTTAAGTCTCGTCAACTCTGAAACCAGCGCATGTTTTTATGTTAAAGTATGCCGAAGCTAAATATAGGAAATATATCAAAAAGTAGCCGATGATGCTCTATAGATTACTATTAACTTTATTATTATTCTATACAATAATATGCCACAGGGTTCTCGTGTGTTTGCACAGGAGCTAACTAACTGAAATTTTTTATTTCACAGTTATTCTTTGAATTTTTACAGAAATGTTGACAATGGCTTCATTTGGGAAAAAATAATCTATGTCAGGTAGGAACAAAAAACACGATTTACCCTGACCTAGAGCTGGTCACTTATTAGAGTCAACACAAGCGACGTGCCGAGTTTTCTTCTTCTGTTCCATAACGTCATGTTTTTGCATTTCAGTTTGGGAACAGATTGTTGTTTTAACCTTTGGACAGAGGTAGTTTAGCTGCTTCCAGTCTTTATGCTAAGCTAAACTAAACATCTCTGGTTGCTAGCTCATACTAAACAGATAGTAGAGTGGTATCAATCCTCTCATCTAGGGATAATGACGGCAGCCTACTAATGTTGTGAGCAGCCAGCTCACGTTCTGAGCCGAGTTAGCCTCAACAACATAAACTCTCACAGACCTTTGACATCTACAGATTCTAAAATGTGAAACTATTTAAGACGTTTCCATGTGTCACAGTGTGAACATTGTGAGGTTTTAAGCCACTGACAGTCCTTCCTTTTGCTAGGTGAAGTCTTCTGGCATGAGAGTGGGTTCCACCAAACGCAAACGTTCAGAGCGTAAGGTGACACGGATGGTGTCCATCGTGGTGGCGGTGTTTGTCCTCTGCTGGCTGCCGTTCTACGTTTTCAACGTCACCTCCGTCACCGGCTCCATCAACCCCACCTCTGCTGTGAAAAGCACCTTCGACTTCGTCGTGGTCCTCGGCTACGCCAACAGCTGCGCCAACCCCATCCTGTACGCCTTCCTGTCGGACAACTTCAAGAAGAGCTTTCAGAACGTTCTGTGCCTGAAAAAGGTGGCAGGCCTCGACGAGATAGAGCGCAGTGACAGCAGGATGGACAGGAGCAGAACGGTTAACGACGCAGTAATCATCAACGCCAACTTGGAGACTCACAATGCTGCCCTGCTCAATAACGAGCTACAGACCAGCATCTGAGGGTGAAGGAGCAGCAGTCACATCCAGGGAAGCCAGTGCACTGCGAGTGACCCCTGCTCAAAGATGCGGGGGCAGGAGGATGATGTAATAGCTGCTGCTCATGGACACTGACACATGAACAAAGTCTAAGTGAAAAATAAACAATTTCTTAAGGGTTTTCAAAGGTCAGGGAAAGTACACTGACTCCAGCTCAAAACTCTTGATATTTGGGTTAATGAGGTAACTCGAGCTGGTTAGCCCTGAGGTGAAGCAACACTGAAAGGATTTTCAACACTGTAGAGACAACAGTTGTTGAAATCAGACATAAATGAAACTGCCCCTCATGCTCACCAGCTGGGCCTCTATCAAGTTGTCAGAAAACACGCAGACTGAACCACAATCGAAACGAGACGCAGGATCAGGGAGCGGACTGCTGTGGAGCCACTGGGGGGAAACAGTTCACCCACGGTGGAGAGAGTTTTTTCCAGAGCTAAGAGGGTTCGACATTGATTTGTCCGAATGTGAAAATACTACTGAAGAAGTCGGCCAAACATTTCCAGCTAGCACTGCAATTCTCTAGACTTTGAAAGAGAAAAAGCAACCAACAACCCCAAAGACGAATACGGTCATGTTTTATTCATACAAGCTGATTAGTCTGGTCTGACACATCGACGCGGCAACAAAATGGCAAACCCCTGCAAACATAAATACCCACAAACAAAGGATGCTCTTTCCCCTCACTAGCTGGCACCTCTGTTGGAGGTGCATTGATCCGTAAATGCTTGAATTTAACATCTTGGGTTATTGATTAAACGGAAGGACGGAACAATGTCGCGGAAGCCACTCTGGCCTTGCTCAGTTCATAACAACATGACTTTGTATATAGGAAATGGTTTTCTGTCTACGTCTGTGTGTGTGTGTGTGTGTGTGTGTGTGTGTGTGTGGGGGAGTCTACACATGGACGACTTCATGTCCCAACCAAAATGATTTCAAAGCCAAACCCTGCTGTAAAATTCTGTATTGTTGTGATATGCACCAAGAATAGCATCGAAACTATGTTTGTGAAACCATCATGTGTACTTTATGCTTCACTGTGTCCTGGTCTTTACCTCCCCACCGGTCTTTAACCCCCCCCCCGTGCCAGTGATGCAGTTATAAAGAGCCCATTTCTACTTCTTGTAAAGTGCTGTGTTTGGACATTGTAAGATTTCCTCCTGATTTCATGTTGAGATGTGGTCACCGTCCTCAGCTGCACATCTGGTTCGCTTGCAAAAATGTCTAACTTTCACAGAAGGCAGGAAAATGTGTCACTTTGTCCAAGTGGAAGGGAGAGAGGGGAATACGGAGATTATAGAAAGAAAGAAAGAAAGAAAGTAAAGTTTGTGTATTTGTTTAAATCCCATTACAACACACTCACATGTTGTTACAAGCCCTCTGATGGATGTATTGGAGGTTGCCAGTTCTTGGGAAACAATGACCGACAGCAGCTGGTTTCATTTCACTCGCGTATCTACACATCAAACTGCATCTCTGTGCTGTCGTGACAGATAACTGATCGTTTCACTATTGATTGATTAGTGCGTTTGGTTGACTTCAAATTCATAGTAATTTTCCAGCTCAACTTGACAGAGTCTTGAGTTTATGGGACGTGAAGTACAAAGTCCATGGCCCGGTACCCCACACCTACCACCCTCTGTATATTATGTATGTACCAACCATTACTCCTGTGATGGAGTAACACCAACACATCCCAAGTTTTATGTGCCAGTTTGCGATAACTTGATTTTAAGTATGCCTCATATTAACACAACATGAACTCAAATACTATATTTCGACATTCGGGGCATTTTTTTTAAAAAAAGACTGAGCCACAAGATTAGCTAATGATGCGGGAAGTGCATCCGGCCATAATGTATTTTAGTGGTGTTTCCCACTTCGCCTCTTCTGGAAAAAGACAGACTTTGATCAGATTGTACATATAATTTACAAACTTGTGGATTTAATGTTACTTTTCACCTTCCTACACCGACTCCTCATAAAGCACATTCCCGCCAAGGACAAACACTGCTAAAATACTGTAAAACAGTAATGTCATAAGCAACATACGTCTGTTTCCACAGTCACCAACATTGCTGGGGGATTCAATGATGCTTGTTTCTATGGATACCATTCAACACTATAACCTACACATACTGGTTCACTGTCAAGTGTTACAAATCAAGAAATACAAAAATCATACCATGAACGTGACATTGACTCACAGCCCTCGACCTTCAATACACTGAATGAAAAGTGAAAGCAATAAGCCGGCAGCTTCAGTGTAGTTAAGTGTGCATGCAACTGCAGTATATCCCTGTACTCTGTGTATTTAGTGGCTTGTGGTGAGCGACAGGGACATCAGGAGGACGGATTGATTAATGGAGTAATCAGTCAATCAGTGGAATCATGGAAATTCCCATGTTTTTTTGTTTTTTTTTGTTGTTGTTGTTGTTTGCTTTAGCTTTGGTGTAGCTTATGCTAATGGTATGGATCAAGTGAAGGCAATGACAGGCTGTCTGTTGAAATATGTCAAAAATTATTGGATGGAGTGCCATGAAATTAGGTATAGTCATCCACTCTACCCTCAGGATGAAATATAGTCACTTTGACGGTTCCTTTAATTTTCCCATAACTTTATATCAAGCACAATCATCAGGTCAAATTTTTTAATTTGTCCAGTACTTTGATTTACAAGCAAGTACCTGCACAACTAATGACATTCCCATCAGCCCCAGCTGTGCTTTGTGTTTAGTGCTATAAGAGTTGGGAAGAGGGAAGAAGGCTGGTTTCTTAAGTGTTTTCCCTGTTCCTTATTCCCATTTCCTTTTTTTCATCAAACAATATTCTTAATTTTGCTGAACATACAAACAGGGGACTCTCCCTGATGATGTAATGGTCCTATAGGTTTATGTTATGGCCACTAGTTTTAATCAGAGCGAAAGCTAATTCAAAATGTGTTGTTACATTTGAAAACAAAACAATTTGCTGTAGTTGTTGAATTCATTCAAATTGACCAAGAAATTAAAAGTAAACTGATTTAAGCCTCAGATTGCATTTTCTCAACACTGCACTCAATCTTTCTTGTATCTTAGGGGTCGTTGTTAATGTCTACCTTTAGGTTTTTATGTACACGGGCTTGTAGAGCTGTAGAGGCGCTCCAACCGTCACGTCACATGACACTGGAGCTTATTTCCAGAATCAGGGGCTCTAAAAATAGCTCCTCCCACTCTATTAGCATATGCTTACACGTTAAACAAAGATAGTCCATCCAGTATATATTATGTCAAATATCTGCATGTAAGCATTGTCTAAGTTAGCATTTAGCATGCTGATGTTAGCATTGAGAATTAGCATTGAATTGTAATGTCTTTTCATTTTTACATACTGTCCATACTGAGATAGCTGCAATGAAGATATTTGGTAATCAACCTAGGGTGACCAGATGTCCCCATTTCCCTGGAAATGTCCTCGTTTTTAACGTTTTGTAATTAAAAACAGACATCTAGCATTGCACTTGTTTTGGCCAATAGAGGGGGCTGACTGCTAGCTATAGCAGCTTCAGAAGTGAAGCAAAAACCATCAAAATAGAGTTATCTAATCAGATTTCCTTTTTTTGTTAGTAAACTAACAAAAACAAAAAAAAGCCCTCCAGCAAGAACTTGAAAAAAATGTTTTTATGTTGGAAGAAGTGAAGTAGAAGTTGCCTGACGGTCTTCATCTGTGGACCCTGATGAACTAAAGGAATATAAATAATTGAGGAATAGGTAGACCATAGGACTTCACGCCTGCTTCAAAGGGAGTCGTCATTTTATCAGTTGGCCTTCACAATAGTTTATTACAGTACAACAGTTACCACGGTCAACAAAATACATGACTATCCCCCTTTTTTATTTCACAGGTAAAAACATTGGATACTTTAATGATATATTGACCGCTGAACTGGAAATGTCTCTACTGTCTACACCTTATATCAACCTCTAACCTGAACTTTTACCATTTGACATCATGCTTTTAGAAATGATCTTGCTGGTTTATTAGCAAAGTAAAACAACAGCAGTTTGTTTAGTTAACTGGGCTGGCTCTCCAAAGCTACAGCTTCCTAGTACAGCAAGGGCCAGAGGAGCAACAATAAAAGACATTATCACAATAAGATGAATTTGAAAACCTTATCACTTCATTAATGCTGACTGAATGAGCCCACATCTACAGCAGACATACATTTCCGTTTTAGCTATCAGGCTGTTTGTGCACTGACACTTCGGCAATGGACCCCATGATGGAGCCACACCTGGTTGCTGGGAGATTTGTCAAACAACTGTAAAGCCTCTATAAGGGTAATAAGGCCAATCCACCATATGCTGCAGTGTCAGATTCGCTTCGTCCGAGTATATCGGTCAAGTCAGAAGCCATCAATCAGTGCAATCAAAAGGCATGAGGAAGCAGACGGGGCTTGTCCTGAGAGGTTACTGCAGAAAATAATTATGTGAGGTCATACACACACACACACACACACACACACACACACACACACAAAGATAGCTGTCGTTAGCGTGACACAAAGCATATAATTTGTCATGACATTTCCTCTGTGCTGTCACTGCTTGTTGTAATACTCGTAGCAGGGTCAGTCCCACCCTCAGTCCCGGGTCAGAGTAGGAATAAACACATGCACGTGCACAGTCGTGGTCACAGACATTTGTATGCATTTGTGTAGGTGCAGTTCCATGTGCTTTCAAATACACTGCACTGTACGTACAGACAACACACTCTTCAGCCTTGTTGCTCTCAATGTGTCACACAGACGTGAGCTCCTTGCACCCTTGTCTGAATAATGCAGAGGGTGATAGGATGACCTGTCCTGTGTCAGCGAGTCACAGTGACCCAGCTGACTGTGTTTGTGAATGTGTGAAGCAGTCCAACACCGAAGGTTTTTACGCGATGATACGGACAACTAGAGACATATATTACATTACATTATAGTTTGATTACGGTACGTGGAAATCCTGTGACATGCAGTTTCTTTCTTTATATCTGCATTTGTGAATACACTCGTGTGTGTGTGTGTGTGTGTGTGTGTGTGTGTGTGTGTGTGTCTCATCAGAAGAAACTCATTTCACAAGCTCACCCATTACAGTTAAGGTATTTATCGCCTTCAAGCCTGAAATGCAAGAACTATTTTCCCGTCATCCAGTTAATTACTTGCGCTCTCTCTCTCTCTCTCTCTCTCTCTTTGTCTGTCTATCTATTCCTCTCTTATTCACGTGCACAGCTGGTGAAGAAAAAAAAAAAAAAAGATAAACATTTTACACCCACCCAAACTCAACTGAGCTGAAATGAAGGGAACCATACTGAGGAAAACACACCGCCGCTGGCTATTTGGACATACTTAATGTACTTAATGAACCATTTTGATGTTTAATAGATGTTGATGATGCAGTTTGTGCCAAAACCAATGTAAATGTAGCTCTGAAAGGACGGCTGTTGTGGCTGCTATCTTTGTCATTTTGTGAAATCAAGACCTAAATACGTCTCTGAGATGAGGTCGTACTGTATTCTGAAAAAAAAAAAATGAAAAAAAGTTGTGATTATTTGGGTTGACGTGAATCTTGGCTCCATGCTTGCTGAGTACAGCTCAGTGCCGAATGCGAAAAGGGCATTTGTCTGGGTGTCTAGCCAGTTCCTGCCAGTGTATAGTGTACAGATGAGAGGCAGAGGCGGGGGGGGGGACGGACCTCTGCCTTCTTGTGCTCAGTTTCTTTTGTAGAAACATAAGTTCATTTGCGAAGGGCTAGAACGTGCACTCCCGAAGAATGCACCGTTCAATAAATAAAACTCTATGTATTTTGTGGTATCCTCTGCTTGCTCTTGCATGGGGAGGGGTTGCATAGCTCACCTTCTGTGTCACCTCACCATCCAAAACCAGCGTTTCATGCCTAAAGGTGCAGAGTTGTACTTTAGTTGTGTTGTAGTTTGGTTTCATGGCTGGTGCAACGGGTACAACTGTGTAGCATTTTAAGTCATGATCAGCGGCAAAAACACGACGCATTCCTTTGGTCAAAGAGATGAAATGAAATGTAGGTTTTCCACACTACAGATTATAATCCTGAGGAAGACAAACGTAAGGTGAACTGCTCGTAACTTACATGCTTGTTTCTGAACGTGTACAGCCATGGATATGTACTTTTCTGTGCGGTTACTTTTTTATCTTTGTGCCTTGAAAAACTTAAATTAAATTTAAAGTCATGTGATGACATTGGTGTACAGCAAAACAAACATTGTAACCTGTTTCTCCCAAAAGCTGAGCAACCAAAGGCCTTTGTACTTTACATTTGAATATGTTGGTAACCAAGACATCTTGCTGTGAATCATTTTTCATACTTTTCCCCTGGCTTACATGGCGTTTGTTTGTGTGATATAATGTCAGAAGCAGGTGTTTCTTTGTGACTCTTTGTTGTTATAGATTATAATGTGCTCATTGATTGTAACGGACGGGGCCACTGTCCTTATTGGCTGTACAATTAAAATGCAGACCAGTTTCTGCTCCCATAGTCAAACCTGTGTATTTTTTGTTTCTGTAGATGTGTCATATGCAGCCTATGTGTTAATCTGTGTTTGGAAACACTTGGCTGTAAAGCAGTGTGCATGATGAATACTGTATCACTGAGAGGAGTTGGAGGAATTTTAAGGGGCCATTCCTCAATGCATTTCCTCCAGGAATACATTCTTTGGAGGAACTCCAAGTTTCTGTTTCTCAGCTATCCCTGGAACACAGCGGTACAGAAAACTGTATATTCTACAGATGATGCCCAGTGCTGGATTCAGTAAATACATAGCATTCCCCAAGGGGCTGTCACTGCACTCAGGCAGAATATGGACACATTGTTTCAGCAGTGTGAACGCAAATGTGTCCTGGGCCACATCAAAGGACCGCCCACTCAACTGGCGTCCTCTGCAGCCACGGTCTAATTAGTCCTGCCAGCGTTTCATAATGAACCGAAAATATTTTTATACTTCTCACCGTGTTACCCACCAAAATATCAATCGCGATATCACTGACCACCACATATTTATTTTCCATTTTTTAAAACTATTTCAAATGTGTAAGACCTTATTTCGTCGTAGAGCTCTGCACAGTGCACGGCGGATGGCGACAAATTAACTTTTGAAGCAGCAGTTTTTTATTTCTCTCCACACTTCGTCGGCTTCACAAGAACAACACTCTCCGTTCCTAAGTCACATGTCGCTAAAGCAACCAATCAGAGATGAGGAGGGCTAAGACTGAGGTTAATCAGAGGAAAAGTAGAGCGATTGATTCAGGAGGTTACTGTCACTGTTTCTCAAGATGCACATGTAAATATTTTAAATTGTAAATAATATTTGCATAAATATAGATATGTAAATAGTTAACTGTAAACATAATTATGTAAATAATTATCTGTATAAACAATGTAAATATATTTTTTGTAAATTAACTCAAATATACAGATGAACATCTAAACGTTACACTGATTTGCTCAGCCTCTCTCTCTCTCTCTCTCTCTCTCTCACACACAACAGACCCATCTGTCATGGTCAGACTGGCTAAAAACAACAACACATATTGCATTCTGTTGCAAACAGAAATAATGTGGGCTTCCTGTTTATTTGCATATAGAGAGGGGGAGTGAGATCTGGTCATAAGTGGTCACTGGAGGCTTAAGTCTAACTGACGCACTTACAGCTGTCCACTCGTGGTGATCCGACAACGACAAGATGTAAACGCATGTTAATGACGTGAACAGGCTCTGAATGTGGTTGGACAGAGAAAGCACTTGATGTCTACGTAACGATGTGCTTAGCGCTAATTAGAAAATGTTAGCATGCTAATACGTTAAACTAAGATGCCAACCATGGTAAACATAACCTGTCAAACATTAGCATGTGAGCACTTTAGCATGCTGATATTAGCATTAGCAAGTCTCACAAAACTTATATTTCTCAACTTGGGTTTTATTAATACTCTTGTTGCCATAACTGTGGTTTCATGGGTCATGGTC